ATATATATATATATATATATATATATATATATATATATATATATATTATATAGCAAATAGCAAATATGGGTGTATTTTAATACTAGAAAAGAAAATAAAAATAATTTAAATGTAAGTCATATAAGTTGCACAACAGCAGCTATCCTCAAGGACCCATTCTGTAAAAGTTCTCCAAGTTCATCAAATAACAAAGCTGTACGCCAACCCCATCCTTTGGGAGCTTTTGGTAAAAGGGTTCCTGGTTGTTTAAAGCTTCCAAACACCATCACTTCTCTTTTTGATGGACAAATTAACTGCAAAATAAAATGAAGTAAGAAATAAACATTATTTAGGATAAATTACAGTTTTGGTCCCTGGGCTTTCGTTAGAATCACACTTTTTGTCCAACTTTTGAAATAATGTCGATAGATCGCATCCCTGTGGTTTTTAACAAATTACAGTCCCCATCCTTCTGTCAATGTAAAAAGACTATTCTACCCTTTCTAATATCTTTTTCTTTTTGCGAGCACCTGTCCCTCTGTCCATGTAAAAAGACTATTCTACCCTTTCTAATATCTTTTTTTCTTTTTTCTGTTACTAATATAAAACATAAAGGGTAAAATAATCTTTTTATATGGAGATAGGATCGGCGCTGTAACTTTTTTAAACCACAGGGACCATTTCTGTAATTTACTCTATAATTTCCCTACTTCCCAAGAAAAGAGCCTAATCACATAAATATTTCAATAATACATGATTTCTTTTCTTGGCAGATTTACAAGTTAAAATTTACATATTTTCCTATTAGCATCATTAACATTTGAATAAAATACAGTTTTGCCCCTGTGTTCGTTAAATACATGAAAATGACCATTTTGCCCTTCCCCATTTTTGTCATCTCCTTTTCTTTCCCTACAAACGAAACCTTTGTTTGTGCATCTTGGCTTTGAAGAGGATAGGGGCAAAATGGTCCATTCTACATGACATTTTCATATTATTCCAATTAAATTTTTGTATAGTTTTTACCTGATAACGAGCAGTAACCTTCTCACGAGCATCCACATACATATGAACCTAAGAATCATATCTCCAGTAAGTTACTAATAATATAATCAATAACATAACAGTTCTAAGAAAAATTAAAAAATGCTAAAAATAGCAACGTATTTCCATTGATTTATTTATCAATTTTAGCAATGTCATCAAAATACAATTTACAATTTACTTTCATTTATTTTTGTGTATAAATTATAACAGCATCCTGCTTTCCTTTCTTTTATATCACAACAAGGTATTTTCATTTTTTTCTCATAATGCTTTGAAAAATTTACACAATTATAACATTCTACTGTAAATTTTTATAGAAATAAATGGAAGTAAAATTGTAAAATAAATAAACAAATGAAAAAAAGTATGTTGCTATTTCTTGCATTATTTTGTAGTGACAAACCTTTCTAAATGATTCAGGTATCTCTGCCTTCCTTCGATGAAGAAACAATCCTATAAATATAATTACAATTTACAAATCAAAATTATACAAAAAAAATTATTATGACATGGATAATCAATTATTAAAATTATTTAATGAGATGAAAATTTACCAAGAGTTCGACGCCCTTGAGGATCTTCATCATTGAAAGCCTGAACACTTACCTATAATAAACACAATTGTACAAGTAAAATTCTTTATTTTTATTTTTATTTTTATTTTCTAATATGTTTTTAAATAATGCTATAAACAATAACATACCTTCCATAAAGAACCAGCATAGAAATACTCAGGAGAGTGTTTGACTTGTCCATCATTGAGCCGAAGAACATCTTGGAATTCCACCCTATGAAGTAATAATAAAAAATAAAAAAAAATAAAAACAATGTTAGGTAAGCTATATATGAGTGTTCCTTTTTGACTCAATAGAAAAAAGTCAAAAACATGAAAATTAAAACCAGTATTAGTAAATAGGGTTAAAAGCTTGTTTATGCAACAAAGTGGTTTTTTTTGGACAAAATATGAAATGATTTTTCATTATAGAACACGTTTTATCTGTAACCTAAAAATGTGGTTGCATAATTTATGGAAGTTGTATAAAGTGGTAAAAGGAAGTGAAATGTTGTTGCATAAAAAGGTAAACAGTTTAAATCTTGTTGCATAAACTGGTAAATAGAAACATTGTTGCATAAATTTTTATAAAGTTAATAAACATCGTTGCATAAATTTTTATAAAGTTAATAAACATCGTTGCATAAATTGGTAAAAAAAAATGAAACATTGTTGCATAAACCGGTAAAAAAGAGAAATATTGTTGCATAAATTGGTAAAAAAAAAAATGAAACTTTGTTGCATAAATTGGTAAAAAGGAGAAAGTTGTTGCACAATTTGTAAAAAAAAAAAAAAAAATTGCATAAATCAGTAAAAAGTTACATTGTTGCATAAATGGTTAAAAAGAAGAAGAAACGTTGCACAAATTGGTAAAAAAAAATGAAACTTTGTATTAGTAAAAAAGAGAAATGGTGTTGCTTAAATTAGTAAAAAAAAGAGAAACATTGTTGCATAAATTGGTAAAAAGGAGAAACATTGTTGCACAAATTGGTAAAAAAAAATGAAACTTTGTTGCATAGATTAGTAAAAAAAGAGAAACATTGTTGCACAAATTGATAAAAATAAAAAAAATAATAAAAATAAAAAAAGAAGAGAGAAATATTGTTGCATAAATTGGTAAAAACAAATGAAACTTTGTTGCATAAATTGGTAAAAGCATCAAAATATATTGCATAAACAAGCACCAAACCCTAATAAACTACATAGATTCAAAAGCAATTAAAATTTGAAAACTAACCCAAATCGAAAAGGAGGAAAATGACTCAAAGGCGTTTTCATATCCAACGATATAGAACTACTTTCATTCTCCCATTCAACTCCACCACCATCTTCAGACGAAGAATCCATCATCTGCACCCCATTCACCCTCCCACCAAAATCCCCATCATACCCCTCCCCACTCCCTTGACTCAACCCCACCACAGCAGTCAACCCATCCCCACCATGTTGATGTTGTTGTTGTTCCTCTCTATTCTCCACATCATCATTCCCATTCCCATTCCCATTCCCAATCGACTGCTGACAATTCCTATTCCCCATATGAAACGGGACACGCGAGAACACAAAACGTGTTGGCGGCCATGCCGTTGCGGGGACGTACGTGGATCCGCGTCCGATACCCGCTAGCCCGTCGATGGTACCGCGCACGTGCACGCGCACAGGGCGAAATAGTCCATTTACTTCGCCCTGAGAGGAGTCGGTTACGTACACGTCTCCTATGCCGGTTGTTGAAGTGTTTTGATCGTGCTCTTGCATGTAGTAACCGGTGCGTGTGAATCCGTATGGTGGCCTACACTGACATGCCATGCTGACTAGGCAACAACTTTTGCAGGTGTCTGCGCCTATTTCGTGGATACGTTGGCTTAAAAGTGTCTATAATGTAATATAAAATGTATGATTAGGTCAAATGCAAGAAATAGCAATGTACTTTTGGCTTTACTAACTTTTTACAAATTTGCCCTTGTTTTGTCTTGGGTTAAATGTAAAAAATAGCAACGTACTTTCTTTTATATGTGCATTATAGCACCCTACTTTCATTTATTCTATTACAATTACAAGACTGCACTTTCAACATTTTCTTAAGGGTAAATAGCACAAAAGACACTAAGTTTACACTAAAATTCTAATTCGACACTGTTTTTTTGTCACAAATTTGACATTGTTTTCCAATTTGTTACAATTCTAACCACTTGATCGGTCAACCTGGTTACCTACTTACCTACCTACTGACGTGGCATGAGGACGTGTCAGTTTTGATGATGTGACATGTTGACGTGTCAAAATTGAATTTATTTTCCACAAAAGACACTAAGTTTTCACTTTTTTCGATTTTGACACTAAGTTTAATTTATTTTTATTTTTTTCAATTTTGACACTATTTTTTTGTTCCAAATCGAACATTATTTTTTCCAATTTTGTTCGATTTGGGAAATGGAAAATGGTCAAACAAACAAAATTGGAAAAAATGATGTTCGATTTGGAACAAAAAAATAGTGTTAAAATTGAAAAAAAAAACTTAACTTAGCGTCAATATCGGGAAAGTGAAAACTTAGTGTCTTTTGTGGAAAAAAAAAAACAATTTTGACACATCAGCATGTCATGTCAGCATGCCATGTCATCAAAACCAACACGTCATCATGCCACATCAATAGGTAACCATGTTGACCTGTCCAAGTTGTGTCAGAATTGTAACAATTTGGAAAACATAGTTTCAAATTTGAGACAAAAGAAAAAAAAAAACACAATGTCAAAGTAGAATTTTCGTGTAAACTTAGTGTCTTTTGTGCTATTTTCCCTTTTCTCAAATGTTTTTATCATCAAATATCAATAATTCAATATACAACTTAATGGGGAAAAGACAAAACAATCCCTAAATAGCAAACAACAAACAAGTTAGAAGCAATACCTGGAGCCAAAGACCATCATTAACCGATTTACAAGGGAACCCCAATTCTTCTAAATGCTTCCTCACATTTAAAAGAGCCTCAAAAGTCATATTACAATACAAAACCGACCCCCCTTCAAATATATTAACAAAAGTATCATATTCATCACTATTCAATCCACAAATCCCCTTAGCACAACTCTTCAACTCTCTTCTCCCAACAATCCTTCCACCCCATGACAAGGGTACCCCACACCTACCCCACTCATTGTCATTCCCAAATCTTTGCCCTACATTAAGCCAACTATTATTATTCAATTGATAACAAGACCCCTCTTCAGAAGGCCCTTCCCCTTCCCCTTCCATTGTTGCCATGTCAGCACCATGTGGCATGTCTTGGAAAGATGAAGGGTAGGTGAGGTCATTTGTACGAGGAGTGGGGGTAGTTTGTTCGGTGTTGCAGTGGCATTTTGGATCTGTGTTAGACTGACCGGATCCGGATTCTTGTACTTGGCGTCTGAATTCGGGCAGCCCGGTTTGGGAATCCACAACCCGGTCAGCAAGCTCGACTAGAATGGTTTGGGCAGCATCATGAACTTCTCCTTCACATGATAGTTGACTGGTCAAAGTCTTGGAAAGGAGCCCACTTTGATCTGGATGTTCTGATTTACTAAATGCACCTTTTGAGAGGAGGATGTATAATGCCAATTCAAACCTTTATTAAAAGGGAATGTGAGATTAACTCAGTATTCTACAAAAATTGACATATGTGTGTGTGTGTTTGGGGGGGGGGGGGGGGGGGGGGGGGGGGGGGTATGTTTACCTTTTTTCTTCACTAGGCACCCATAGTTCATCAGAAGTTAGTAATGCATGCAGTGTTTGAGAGGAAAGCTTTGGAAGCACCTGTAAGTTGAAAGATGATAATCTAGAAGCATAAACTCTTCCAAAATTATATAAATTATTTTCCAAGAGAAAAAGAAAAAGAAAAGAATAGAATAGAGACAAAAAAAATGAGGCTATATCTATTAAAAGACAAAATAGGTCAAGATCATTTGAACAAATTACAATCAGGAATTTGAATGTTTTAAGGGCTAAATGGAAGAAATAGCAACTTGTTGTTCTTTATTTGTTTATTATAGTATTCTACTTTTATTTCTATAATTGGAAGATTTTTAAAAGTACAATGTTGTAATATGAATCTATGATAAACAAATCAATGAAAGTATGTTACTATTACTTGAATTTAACCCTATTAAGAAAGATAAAGGTGTGAAAACAGAAGCTATAATAGACATAAGATTTCCTTTCTTACTTCTTTCAACTCCATGGCCCCACTTTGACAAAGATAACCCCAACAAGCATTTCTAACACGTTCTCCATGTTCACCATAATTTTGGCCCTCTGCAAAAACCTACAGTAAACATGCAAATGCTAAATAAAAATAACTATATATGATATCAAAGATATAACAAGGAAAAAGAGCTCTCAAACCTGATATGCTAACAAGTTTGTAGTCCAGAGTTCTGATATAATGAAATCAGTGCAAATCGCACATAAATTCTGCAAGAAAAGTTATACAAGTAACAAGATTCAATCAATAAAGAACATAATGCCCATGTTACCCTTTTCCCTTTTATTATGTAAATGCTGAATAATTTACAAGGATACCTGAAGGTCAAGAAATGAAGCTGCAGCAAGAACACGGAATGCATTAGTGTCATCAAGTTTAGGGTGATTTCCATATAGATATGCCAAAGCTATAGCAATGGCTTCTCTGTTAACATTGTTGTCATCCACATGCAAGGTCAAAACTGGTGCATTTGCATCTTTCCAAGGACCATGAAGCATGTTTCTACATAGTACAATCAATGGCAATGATCAAATATTTATAAAAAAAAAGAAGCAAGAAGACTTGGATGTGTAAATTATTCAATAAATCCAACCTGTAGGAAAAAAGATGCATAGAATTATCAGTGTTCTAACTTGTGCCCGTATCAAAAATCAAACTCAAACTTCTATCAAGACTCTTGAAAATGTTAAATAGAAGGTTACCAATGTTAATTTATCATATCCCTCACTTTATAGGTCATTCTTTCTGCAAATTACTGCATGTTTGTTTTATAAAAGTTACCCATATCAAACAGATCATGATACCTAACACATATATGAGCAATAGCTATCAACTACTTCAAAAAATCACTACTGCCTTACAGTCTATGAATCCAATTTTCCAAAATTACTCCTATTTCAGCATTGAAATATGCTTTAAGACAGCAAATGTAGTCATCTTCAGAGTTTCGATTTAATTGTTACTTCACTTTGTTAATCACTTACGGTTTCAATTAGCTTATACCACACTATCATATGAATGAATTCCCACTAATTACACAAAAAGCATAGGGTCAATGTAATAAGAGGGGAAACAAAACTGAAAAAAAGCGAGAGTTGTAACCTGAAGTAAGAACTACGAGAGAGGATGAGACGGTGGAGATGATAAGTAGCGCCCATGGCCTGAACGACTACATCTGAGAAGGATCCATTGTTGAAACCTTCCATTTGAATATGATCACATAAGGAAGTGAGGTTACAATCGAGTGCGCGGAGTTCGGCGCTGCTTCTGTCGTTGTCGGAGTGCTGCTGTAAGGGTTGTCTCGCCATTTCCATTGTTGCGGTGCTTGTGCTCGTGCTTGAGCTCCCTCGTCCTCCGTATGATCGTTGTTGGTGACGATTGATATTGTTATTAGGGTATTGCTGCGTTTGTGATTCCATGAATCTACGTATTAATTCATCAATGGGGAATGAAGAACAAGAAAAGGAAAGTAAAGAGAGGGCAAACTTTTCCCGTTCCAAGGAAAAAACAGTGGTGTTGGTACAAACAATTGAAGTTATATATCCGTAGATCCTTTTACATCGACTGATTTTTGTTAGAAGTATTTTTAGTTTTTTTTTTTTTTTTTTTTTTTACATTTATTACAATAACTTTGTTAATTTATTTTTTTTATGGTTAAAATTTTATTTGTTATTATTTTATGATATAACTAGGAGATATATGTAAACACGTGCTTAAAAATTGATTAATGAAATATATTGTTTAACTTGATGTTTTAAATAGGTTTTCAAAGTTTAGATATGAATAATATTTAAAAAAATATTTTTTATTTATTTATATTCAAATTAAAAAATTACGTACAAATTAAAACATTAGACTTTTTATTATTAAAATAAAAAAGCTTCAATATGCTTCTTCTATTCTTCAAAACATGTCTATACCTCGTCTAATAACTCAATAAAAACATTATTAGTACGATATTGTTCATAATAGAATGTGATAGCAAAATTCCTAACTTTGAAGGAGTTGCAACCATCATTGTGTCCAACTTTTTTCTTAATGACCAGATTCAAATAGAGCTTTGTTATCGATTATCAACGTACTATTGAACTTTAGTTTCTCATTATATGCTTCCGAAAACAAAGTCACTTTGTGTTTGTAGTCTTCTCAGTTAGTGTTAGTTGACATGTTGCAACATGTATGTTATGTAGAGAATATCGGGATGATATTCTCCAACGCTGCATTTTTGTATAACTAATTAGAAAAATAGTTTAACAAACAATATAAATAATTATACAATTATAGATAAACTTTTAAGGTTTGACAAGTAAATTAATTAAATAAAATGTATTATATAGATTTAAAAAGATGAATTAATAATTAAAAATAAAAATATATCAAATAATCATCTTGACTAATTAAATGGCTTAAATGAGATAATAAAATATTTTAAGGAATTAAATTAAATAAAATGACTATAATTATTATTATAATAATAATAATAATAATAAATGAAATATAAAAAGTCTAGGGGGTATTGTGTTATTTCTGGAAACCTCTTTTGTTGAAGGATATAGAGTTTCAAGTTAAAACTATCAAAAGACCAAACCTCATGGACTATTTATGCCAACCTGTGAAACTTGGGCATCTTGTCCCCCATAACATAACACATCATCATGGGGAGGATTCCTTTTCTTTTCATATTAAAGCTTGCATCATGCTTCCTCATAATTAAACACTAGCTTCTTTTGTTGTGTGAGTCGCCAAGAGTGAAAGGGAAAAAGGGGATAATCGATTTCGGAGCACCACCACTTCTACTGCCGTGTTTTGTCTCCCGTCGTTGGAATATGTCGTTGTTGCCGCCAAAATCTGCTTTGGGCATTGTCGGAAGAGGGGGGGGAGAGGATGATAGGGTGGGTTTGTTCCTTAAGAGCTTCTAGTGGGTAAAGCATCTTCATTTTAACTCATTCTTCGCCTTTTTTCATTAAAATACATAATCACAACCATCATTGCCAGTCGTGGTAGTTGTTGAGAAATCACCACTCCACTACTATGGTATCATTTGGTGGTGGTGAGGTTGATGATGTTACTAGAATCCTTGGTTAAATGGTTGCATGAGTACATTCTTTTTTTATGGTTTTGAGCTTTAGTGTGAGGGATTGGTGCTTCCTATAACCACCATTGCATCACCGTGTAACCACTACTTGATGGGGAATGAATGGTGTTACATTTTTAGTCAAGTTAGGAGTATTAAACATTTAATAGGCTTGGTTTGAAAACCATACCCATAAACCCCTTCTAATTAGCTAAATGTGAAGAAGTAGGTTCACATGTTGATTGTTTGAATAAGCTCTTAATCCATTAAGATGTTCTTGTTACAATACTCCTTGTGAATGTTTCAAACTAGTATTTCACTGAAATGAATGTTTATGAGCTTAACCATTAAGTACTTAATGAGTTGATTGGAATGTAAGCTCAAACTTGTTGGTTTTGCAAAATCTTGAAATTGTTCCTAACTTTGAAAAATCATATAAAATCATTAGATAATCCAATTCTCACGCATAATATGTCCCTAGAAGGGTATGAATCTCTAGTTTCATCCATACCAAGGGCTTGATTTGATTCCATATACAAATGTGGGGGAATTGCATCAAATGCATGATGGTCCGAAAATTCCACTAATCACTTTGGTAATTTGGTAAAAATCATAATTAAATATATGAAACTCTAAATTACATGAGGTTTTTTTGGATCTTGGTGAGAATTTTTAGTTTCTTCCATAAAATGGACTTGGTTTGATTCCATTCCCAAATAAGATGGAATTGGCATTCCTTACAGATCGGTCTAGAAAGACGATTGTTTGCAATAGTCATCTTGTAAAATGTTTAAATAATTATAGAAAAAATAAAAAGTACATGAAGTCATGGACTGAGTTGAGTGAAAGATTCTAGTTTAACATTTAATTTTTCCATTTAATGATCCTCAATCCTTCTAGAGTGTTGGTGACTATTTTCACTAATTGGTCTAGAAAAATAGTCAATTTTTGTAGTCGATTTGTGAAATCAATAGAAACCGATGGAAAAATAATTAGAGCATATGTTTCACCCCCATGGAAATCTAATGGAATGTTCTTTAATGATTAGTATCAACCTTTCATGAGAATGGGATTAAGTTAGGTAAATTGGTTTGCGAACCAATTGTTCTAATGATTTTAAAAGTAAAAATAAAACGTAAAATTTTGTATTATAAAGTAATACTTGAAATATGGATTAAGTGTGTGTAATTGATATATTATAGGTGTTCATACAGTTAGGAGTTCATATTAGCCATTGCCTATAGTATTGCTTTGTCTTCTTTGTTGTTCAGGTGAGTTAGACTAACTTATTTGTTATGTTAGTTGTATATGTTTATCTGTTAGAATTCTTGACCATGATAGACCCTTTCGGAGAAGTGGTTAAGGTTTGAATGATAATGATATACCATTCGAGGGAAGTGATCAGTCCCCATATTTGCAGTGTCTGAGATAGACCCTTCCGGGGAATCAACCTGTCAATTTAGAGTTGGTACCAACAATATGTGTTAGAGATTTATGGGTTATGTGATTATGTGAATGTATGTGCTATGTGAAGGCATACGATTAATATAACGAGTAAGTAATGTGTATGCGCACTGAGCATTTTTTCTTACCCATTGTTTATTAATCTTTTTTAGGACCCTTCGAGGTAGAAAAATGTGATGGGTTTTACATGTATTAACACGGATAAATCCTTAACACTTAAGGGTACATGCAACCTAAAGATCTAAGTCACAACACTATTGATGTAACATTCTATTGAACAACAAGAACCCTAGAACCCTAAGTAATTTCGAAAAATCAGAATAAAGGTTAGGGTTTAATTACCTTGTTGATTGTTGTAGTAAATAATCAAGAATCCTTTCTTCAATAACTTGGAAGCTAGCACCACAATTGGCGTGCCTCTGATGGTTCACACCCAACACTAGCAACAAGAAGCTTTTGAGAGAGAATAGAGAATATGAAATTTTTAGCTATCTCTTGAGGAGGGGGAGTGGCCGAAAATTGGAGCCTAAAAGTTTCTTATATAGTGCAACTTGGAAACCCTTGATAACCCTAAAATGAATAAAATAATATTTATTCAAATTGGTAATTATCCAGCTTCCTCTTTATATGCAAGGAATATTCCAGATACCTTAGAATATCCTAGAAATCTTTCACCTCCTTCCAAGGAAGGTTCGGGAACCTCTCTTGTTCAATTATTAAACAATTGCACTTTAACTCTTGCACTTTTAATTAATACAATTAATCCCAAAATCAATTCTAATTAATTTCTGATTAATTATCAATTAAATATTACTATTTCTAATTAATATATTTTTTCATAACATATTAATAAATTCATTTTGATTTCTATGTAATTCATTAATCATATAATAAATTAATAAATCAATCTCTCTCTCTCTCTCTCTCTCTCTCTCAAAGTCATCCTATTCAATTACTAGGTTTGAGGGTAAGCCAAAAGGACTTTGCTAATAATTCAAGATTATAGTAATTTAGTTATTAGCTTAGACACCTAATCCAACAAAATTAAGGTCTCGACGTGATTGCAGTTAGCATTTCGCATTCTCGTGGGTTTTAAGTATTATCATTTTTATGACATTTTGGATATGTAATTTGGGATTTTTACTTATGCACTATGTTCTGAAACACCTTCTTTTTTAGTAACTTTGATATTATATTTTGAAAGTTTTAACAAGATGATGTTTGAATGTTTTTGGTATCAAGAATAGTTATTTTGCAAATTATTTTTATAATTAACGTCGAAAGCTATGGTTTATATTATATTATTTTCAAAGGTGTTTTGATATTACTAATGTTTTAACATTGAAGGTCATGTTTTCTATATTAGTTATCTTAAAAGATTTTTTTTAACTAGGACATTACATATTCCAACGCCTACGACATATGTTAATAAAGGAGGAGAGAACAATGCATTTAAAACTAAAGATGATCGTTGAATCGACCTACAGGTCATGCATCAACTAAATGATTCATATATGTAACACTTGGTTCAGGATTTGCTTCATTATTCCGGGCTGCGGCCCAATCATCTATGGTCATGAGGCTTAGGGCCTTGAGAAAGGAAGAATTTGGCCCTTCTCGGGTGTGGGTGTTATGGTTTAAGTGATCCAAGTGTTCGATTGTGTCTTCGAAGGTCAAGGGTATAATCGTATTTTGATAATTTAGTCTTTTATGGATTTTGGGTTTTGTTCGAGAGGTTTTAAGGCTTGGGTGTGTTGTTAGAAGCGTAGGGCTTCTCACCGCCTTTCCGTGGATATAAGATTCGTTGGAAACAGACCTAAGATAAGGGAGTTATGGCATTTTGAAGATATTGGCAGAATTGGCACGTAATGGAAATAGTTGGCAAATTGGTCCATTGCATGCAAGGAGGGTATGCACGTGTTTGGCTGAGTACGGCCGACATAAGTTGGCAAGTGGACGCGGGTGTTTGGAGTTGTACG